GGTGGAACTTATATGTCACCTTAATTTGGTGATATCGCTTTTTGGATTATCTATTAGTACAGACGAGTACAGTGTATACATTAGTTATGAAGGTCGTTCAGCCGTGTCAGATATGCAGATGTAACTAGCTTGACGGTGATGCCTCCATCAACAAACTGTGACGAATCTCAAGGAAACGACGAAACACGATTAGTTTGTGAAAAACAGCCTAGTTGTTTCGCCGATGACTACCAGTGACGCTTTTTTTGCTTCCAATAGGAACAAGATTACTATTAGTTGCCTCATGCTTTCGATTCACCACAGGTTCCGCAATGCACCGTTCTAGGTCTGTGGGAAGTTGTGCTTGAAGATCTTAAGGCTGTACAAGACAGACCATAGGATTGTCTACTAGGGCGCGCAGAGCAGTGGCTCAATCTGTTTCCAAGTTTCGGGCCCGAAATGAGTACTTGTTTGGTAATGCGAACAGTTGACTGCCCAATTTCCTCCCCTATGTAAATATCATTGCAGTCCAGTGACACATATCATAAACACAGGGCTTGTGATGGCCTGAACAATGAGTTTATCACACTTTGCACCGTATCATCTGATTTGAAAATGGCATGTTTATATCCAAATCCGACAAAACCACACAGACTGTAGCTTGCTGACCGCAGTGAGTCTCTACAGTGAAAAGGGCTGTCCTGCTTTTCAGGTGTTTCCCTCACTGTAACTCATCTATATCTACCTCTGTAAAAATACCGCATAGTTTGAAAAACATACTCACTAGGTTTTCACATTTACGGCACTTTTCTACTAAGTGTTCTGCCAAAATGCCACCTCATGTTTCAGTTGGTACGATATTCGAGATATCATAGTGTACTTTCATAGACAGAACTACTCACAAGGTTGCTGAAAAGGCTTTGACATCCTATAATCAGTTTTGCCCTTCTTAGTGCCCATCAGTTTAGCACACTCCCCAGTTTCCGTCAACCTTATGTTCTATTTTAACCTGATGGTCCCCAAGAAGGGCGGAACCAGTCGCGCGGGCTGACGAAGAGTTTTCAGCAACCTTGTGAGTAGTTCCCTTCCTGGAAAATCCTACTACACAGTTGTTTTTGTGCAGCAATTTTTGTATCACTACTTTCAATTAATTTAACAAACTCATCAGAGCAGATTGATCTTGCTTTGTTTAGCCCTTCTGCTTTACTCCATCGTTACCAGGTGGCATGAAAGATGTTCAATTATTTCCAAGACTAAGTTGGTTTCGATACATCAAAACCTAAATAGTTGGCTGCAGTAAGGCGGTCTTAGTAGATTTAGACCTGGTTCAAATAGTTACTTTTACAAGTGAAATTTTTAGGTAGGAAGTTCAGGAGAGCTAGTGGGTCAGCGGAAAATTTACCTCGCGTCTCTACGAATGTGTCATTGACAATGCTGACAGGATGGCAAAAAACATTCGTTTCGTGTGTTCCGCAAAGGCGCCCGTGGCTTCCACGTTTGTCCACACAAAATCTGTTTTCATACCAAAAAATAGGTATATTTGATTCCACTACCTACTTTCGGGTCATCTCCTAACAGACGATGTGAACATTCGTGGCCGTTATCCACAAATAGATCCGTGTGCAAAAAGATGAAATGTCAGCCAGCAGCGTTTCATGTCTGTCTGCCTACTGTTTAAGATTGTCAACCAAAAATGAGTTGTTCTTAAACTTGCTTCGTAAGTTATTCGCAGGTAGGAGGTATGGCAAACGGTTTTGGACATTGTGGAAGCTTGTGAGTTGGAATGATGGTGTAATCCACTGCCGGGCACCGCTTACTCGTGGATTTTTATTAGTTCATCGTTTCCAAATATTCAACTGCACTTGGGTTGAAAAGAGAATCGGCTACCCTGAACCAACTTCTTCCTGCTTATCCTGGTAAAGACACTTGAAACGGATCTCGTCCAATCAAAATAATCCATAATACTTGTCCAGCTGTAGCATCTTTCGGGTGCCTAGCTGCCATGCCACCCGAAGGAAGTATGAGGGCCGGGATATTGTCAGGTTGCCCGAGCGTAGGCAGGATACTTCGAGATACAGAGGTCTGATTTGAACCGCGGATCTTCCGGTCAGTAAATCCATGCTCTAACCGCTGAGCTATCTCGACAAATCAAGCGCGATATCTTAGTCGATGTACGCTGTGTTCCCGTATCATTCGTCGTTGGGATGCTCGGAGACCTTAGCCTCTGAATCTTCAATTTCCGGGCTTCAGCGGTTCCTCCTGTAGGTTTTTTGAGCATCAAATATCTTGTGACAATAAGGTTCCTCACAGACACTGAGAATGCAGAAAAAATTCTTTCCCTTGGTTCAAAGCGGCATGGTTTGGCATGTGCAAAGTGCAGTGTGGTGATAAAAGGCTGGGTAGAATCAAACCCGAATCTCACACTTACAGATAATCCAACCAATGAGGCAGATAGATCTGCTCACTTGGGTAGTTGAAAGCGTTCCGGTGGACTGGCTGCAGACAAGATTACTCCTCGAGTTGGGAGGGCCAAGACGGCTTACACCAACCTCCGACACCTTTCACGCCGACTTAACATCAGCTCATCTGTCAAGGGCAGAGTTTACACTGTGGCAGTGCGATTCAAACATCTTAATGAATCGGAGACGTCACCTCCACGCGCAGAGGACGTAACTGTTTGATCATCGATGGCTTCAAAGAATTGGCTGAGTCTGGTGTGGACGTCGAATTAGTAATGTTGAGGGACGCTAGTTGGTCCCAGGAAGAAAGAGTTCTGCCGCAATAGATGAGTTGTTCACACTTCATAGGTACGGTGCTTACTCCTCATGCCGTAGGACCATCCGTCCCGCAGAGCTGTTTTTGATAAGCCCTGTGCTATGTATGATCTAGTAAGGGAGAATTAAAACTGAGTTGGGTTGACAACTACCGCCTCCCCGAATGGGGACATGGGAACGGTGTCATTAGCCGCCGGGAGAAACGGCCCATTCGTGCAGTCAGTGGCGCTCCTGCATCGAAGCTACTTCTTTCGACGCGTAGCTACCCAGTGACAGTGCTAGATGAATTTGCCATCATCTCCCACACCGTTCTACTTTCTGGTGATCGAAACCGCAGCATCTGGAATTAATGTACACATGGTACCGACCGAATGGAGTCCAAAAAGAACTATCCGTTTTCTGTGCGAGAGCGTGTTCACAAATACACCTCGTATATGACCAAGTATACTATGCTGGACAACAAAATGGAAGCCCTGTGTATCTCAACCAAAAAATGCGAAAGTGTATACACTGTCTTGGGAAAACAATAGTTTATTCGGGTGGCTAGACGTGAATGATGGATGTTGCTCGCAAATTTCACCACCTGTCTGTGTTAAATGACTTTGGTCTGAATGGTACTCACACAAAGACTTGCCTCTTGACGACAGTAGTCTTACTTTTGGTCATCTTTGTAAAACCCCTGACAAAATTTCTTGTGGATAAAGTCGAGTAAATTAAGTGCTGCGTCGAAGATTTAGCTTGGTCAGTTAGTGGATGGAAACAAAACACAAACCAATGAGCTACATTTTTCTGTTTTCCGGCAGCTGGGGGACACTTTTTTCCGTCATCATCCCACCTATTTAAGCGAGTTATCGTCAGATGAGAAATCTGGCGATAGCGCTGTATCCTACGCCAGGGCATACTTGGATTTCTGTAGCTTCTGCAGGCGTTCGGCAATCTGAAGACAGAAGGAAGAGCGAATATTTCAAGGCTGGTCCCTTATTACTAAGCAGCTTTTAAAGACTCCACTCTTGACAACGAAAACAAGAGAGAGAGAGAGCTGAAACAATACATTGGCAGTGAAACTGTCACAGTGCTTTGTTTGTCACGGATCCACTCCTGTGTGTGGCTTAATATCCTCAAAATTAACAAGAGCTTTTTCAAGATATTTTATTTCTTTCAAAAACCAAGGCGTTCACATCCAGCGAAAAATCTGAAAATGAGGAAAAAAGAATGTCAAGAACACCGGGATTAGCAGTATCCGAAATTAGCAAAGTGGTTTTCTGCAGGTTCACACGTCAGCTGATAATTTTGACCTTTTCGTAAGATAGTGGCCTTTTATTTACGTAAGTTAAAACAAACCCCTTAAGAGCACTAATATGCTCGTGACTCAAAACTGATCCCCACTGCGGACTCTTATTCTGTGTGGTTCTAAACGTCGAGTTACCCGTATTTCTAGTCAACTTCCTAAACTTTCTTAATATGGGATTTAATTACCCTTGGCTTGCCTTCGCAAAGTTTTCTTGTCGGCACGTCTTCCTATAGCGATTATGTCCGAATGGGGCTTCCGTTCCGTTGTATTTTTAGATTGTCAATTATCGCTGCGTATTCTCACGCATTTGTGAATGCCAGTTTCGGTTGCTGTTTAAATTAAATTTCTGACACAACTATTTGAAAAAATGCCTTGGAGTAACCATTGGGTGGATCAAAGTTTGGTCCCATGGCAATTCATCCACTGTTATAGAAACGACATATTACTAGCTGAAAATGAGCGACTTTAATGCGCCGAGCAGCATAACATTTTCTAGAACTGTTTTGGAATGAACGATTTCGTTGATGTAGCGAGATGATGCACATCACGGCCTATGTGTATCTCTGATAAACTGAATAGGAACTTTGGCTTTCCAGAAGATTGCTGCTTACAACCACTTAAATTTGCTAATTTTAGGGAGATAAAGAGTTGGATACACCAGGAGCCGCGACAAACACAGACAAAGGAGATAAAGGGGATCCAACTAATAGGGAGAATATGCCAATCGGTTCAAGTCAAGATATTGAGACCAAATCGCGAGCGAAGCCTGCAACATGTGCGGAGCCAAATCAGAGCAACAACGAAGATATGTCTCATTGTGAGTCGCCTCTTTACCGTTCTGTATCGGCAGGTCTTATGGATAGCTAGCGAAGCGCACATTGCCACCACGGAGCGCCCATGAGATGATGTGCAAAATACTGCAATCTGAGATTTTGGAAAAATTTTGTTAGAGCAACATAAATCCACGCTGACATATCTTAATATCACAATATTCGTGTCCATTTGGCAGCACAAGACTTCCGGGTTGTGCGCCAGCAGGGGAAACTGTCGGTAGTGAGAAGGTAAGTGTGATTATTCAGTAGGATCAAAGTGTTTCTCTCACTACTCGGATCAAATTTTGGGATTGTGGTCAAACCTCCTTGTTCCTGCGGTATGAATTTACCTGACTTGAATGCTGGCATAATTTATATATGTTCATCTCCATTTATTTTGTTTGGAACAGGGTTCTGAGTGGTTGGTTTGTTCACTGACCCAAGCGATACGATTGCAAGCATTTCATCTTCAATCGTGGTGACATCATCAGTGCGTTGTTAGCGAGCGTGGTGGAGCGTAGCGACGGGTTGGCGGGTGTCCTGTCGCACGCTTCCTAACAACACACTGATGATGTCACCTCGACTGGTGATGAAACTTCTGCAATCAAATCGCCCAGCTCTGCGAACAAAACAATGACCATCTACGCTACCTGAGCTACCAACTTTCTCCTCTATAGGGTTCTGGGTAAATATGTGAGAATTTGTATGAGTTGTGACTTGATACCCGAGATCGCATCGAATACACATAATGGTGGCGGAGATCTCTATCCCAGGTTACTCAAGTCAGACATCTTATCCAATTTTCCTTGAAGCCTCACTTAGGGTTTTATATTCTCTCAAATTTTGAAATCGGCACTTTCTCCTGAAACCTTATCAAACCCTTTTTTCAATGTACTTTCTTTGTTTTTACAGCAGACTTTTGATAGACTGAATGTTTTTCACAGAGAAATACATCGCCTTTTGTTTTTTAGCAAAATACATCAACTACCTTTAGGAAAAAGCGCATCTGAAAATGATATGGTGAGGTTTTTAACAGTTAATAGAGCCAAGCTACTCTCTGGCTTACGTCTGTTGAATTAGCCGGATAATTTATTCGTAGTTATAGGAAAGGTTCGCAAATTTTCTTAGTTAATGAAAGCGATTATTCACCTGGGCCTGGAAGGCGCTACTGGTAACAATAACAGTAGATTGATTAAACGAACCTCATGAAAGATACTCAAAAGAGGTTGGTATGAATGACTACGACATCGAATGTTCTGGTGATCTTTTTACATACACTGGTTGACACCAGTAAGAATCAGATACGACATCAAAAAAGATGGACATACACTCAACATGAGACTTACAATTTCCTCTATCTTAGCGTTGCAAAAAAATGTGTTAATCTTTTTGATAACTGATTTAGCAAGGGTAGGCTACAGCTCTCTGAATCTCTGGTATTGACTGAATGCCGACCAACAAAAAGCAACTCCGCGTCTATCGGGTTTTGAACAGACACTGCTGTGTGTCTTAGTTAAGGAATTGAGTAATGGCTCTAAAATGAAGGTAATCGGCTTCTACATGTGTCTGAAAGTCAATCTGTGCTAACACAAACGAAGTTTCCTGTACCGCTGACAAGCCAATGCATTTTTGTAGCGAATGCGGGTAAATTGTGACCAAAGCCCTCATACTTTACGGAAACTGGCTTCCGTGAAAAGATGAACCAGCTTCCCAGATGCTCCATACTGTCGCTGCCCGCGAGTGACAAGCAAGAGCTATTTCTGCAAGAAGTAATATCTAGTTTAGCGAATATACACTCAGTTGCAAACTTATTTGTTTTTTTCCGAGAAACTCACCTGGAACCCAGCCGAATCTCTCGTTTATGATGTTCTCAGTCAACTGAATGTGCTGCACCAGGCCGCCTCATGTTTCAGTCGCTAAGCTATTCGAGATATCGCGATACATGTATATATTTGTAATGTGCCACTCATAAGGCTGCTGAAA